AACTTGTTATTTCATCCCCAGTAACATTTAAAAAAGCCAATTTGCTCTCTTTATATTCTTACTTAAACTAAGCACATTTATTTATTTTTTCTTTGTTCCCGAAAGACAACAAAATTAATCTTCAGTTCTGTTTTTCACTTTGTTTAAAATTGACAATTTTAGAACAAATGCGAGACAACGACATGTTTGAATGGAAATACTTGCGAAAACTTGGTGTTAAACGACGACCTYATGCCTTTGATCATGAAAGTTACAAATAGTATAACCTGTAATAACTGTAAGGATCTATAACCTCCACAACATTTTTTTTCTATTCCAGCACCAATGTGTTCTATCGAGATGTCTCAATGGAGGTACGTGTGAAAGCCTTGGGCTCAATGACTTCCGGTGCAACTGCCCAAAAGGATTTACGGGTAATCTGTGCGACATTCGCATCAAAATATGTAAGTTGTTTTCAAGTAAAGAATGTGTAAATGTTTTTACCAGACATGCAYATTTGCATCAAAATGTGTCACTTTTATGTTAATCTTGCATATCATGWAARGCACTCGAGCTTTACTGTGTGTTTYCTTTGACAGACAAATGGCTGAAGATCAACACCAGCCCCGTCTGCTTTGGAGCTCAAAAATCAGAATATGGTAGTTTCTACATCAAAGAAAATGGCACAGTCCCCACAGTGAAGCTGGTCCATCGATCTGGATATGTGTCATGCATTAACGATGATKATTCAAGACGAAGTAACTGGGGATGTGGACGAAGCGATGAAGTGCAAGAATTCCTGAATACTATCATGACCAACAACGAAGATCAAAAGATTCTTCCGCAAGATAAATTCATTGTGAATGTTGAAGAATTGAGATACCGCATTCATGGCTTACATCCGAAGTCTTCTGAGCTTATCTTTAAAAATTTCAMAACACCGATGGAAGTTATCGCTGGTCAAGAGTATCGCATCTGGTTTGGGCAGGATCTCAAGGAGTCTAGCGACGACAACAACGAAGGAACGTCATGTACCGACGTATACATGTATGTGTACATGTAATGTCGTTGTGTGAATGTGATGTATTAGGGATAAAGATAATAATACATGACATGGGCTTCCTTTATCATCATGTAGAGGAGTAGAGACTAGAAACAAACTTGAACACATGGCTCGACTTAAATAACACAGATAACCCGAGAAGAACTTCATCAAGGATTATCGATCAGGAGTGCAGGTGTCTAAATTTATTCGTCTTACTTCAGTAATCAGTTTTTAACTACTACATCAGTAATTATTGACGTTACTTATTTAAGTTGTATGTTGACTTGATAAAAGAAAAAAGCTTTTTACAAATTCCAAAAGTTGACTTGCTGTAAATAAGAAACTAAGGTTCGGCGCTGTAATTGATGTAAGCTAACTAGATWGATTTGTAGTTAGTTTCAGTAATGCGTTTTTAACTGTTATATCAGTGACGTGATCATTGACGCTATACTCATTATAACTTTGTTAGTTTATATGAGAAGACATATAATCCAAAACTAAGGTTCGGCTGTCATTGGTGTTAGTTTTCTTGGTTCATTTCATTGTTATTTCTGGTTCATGTAAATAATAAAAATTTTTATTGGAAAATGTCAATATTTGCTATATATAAATTAGAATTTCATTTCTAACTGAGAACACTTTACTCAATCAATCAATCCTACTGAAGACACACACGCATACTTTATAAAATTCAGGAGTCTCATACTGTTACTCAACATAGATCAAATAAAATATTTATCTTTTTTGTTTATTAATTTTTCTGACTGCCCTTAACTAGATGACAGACAAATCAACTGCATATGAAACCATAAGACAGTTTTAAATTAAAGTCGAATTTGTTTATAACTGCGGCAGTTATTGATTAAATTCACATAAATTTCATACTTTATTGATATTAATTTGATCGATATTTTGCCGTCTAGTTTATTCAATATCTAATATATCTTTAGTTATCGAAKTATTAAACTTACCCATTTGTATTTCGTCGTCCAGAAGAAGTTTTGCTCCATGCATGGAAGGGTCCTGTAACCGCTAGAGGYTTGTGAAGCTTTTTATTGTGAGTTTAAAAAGGAATGGAACAACTGTGAAAGGAAGGAAAGATTTAGAAAGACCAGGGGAAAACGAATACTCTACAATATGACAAATATGATTCGGAAAATTTCGCAAATCAGATATGTTTTTCTTCTTCAAGCCGCAATTATTATTCTAATCACTACCAAAGTTTCCAATTCACATGCTCAATCTGAAGGATCATCTTTCAGTAAAATGCCATTCTACAAGCTCGATGGGAACATCATTCAAGCCATTGCAGTGCCAAACATTCTTCAGTGCTGTTGGAAATGTGATCGTTTACCAGAGTGTTTCTCGCTGAACGTGGCTGATGTGCCTGACAAAGATGGTTTGTACGAATGTCAGATGCTTCGAACTGAGACCAACAAATATTCTGCACTATTAAAACAATACCAACACTACCACCACTATACACGATTCAAGGTAAGTATGTCATGAAGAAATCGTTTCAAAAAAAGGAAATCACACTTTATGTTATAAGCATTAAATTATGTCTCAATGATCTCAAAGTTGAAAGGAGTGTACGACCTAATAATTCGTAATTGCAGTATTTTTAGTGAAATGTACCGCCGTCCCTCTAAAAGGTACTATTTTACAGGATGTACCACTTAGGAGGACAAACCAACAAATTTTAAATTGTACAGCTTTTCCTTTCATCCCCAGTAAGATTTAGAAAAGCCAGTTTGTTCTCGTTATATTCTTACTAAAACTAAGCACAGTTAATTCTGAGACTTTTTTTGCAAACTTGTTCACGAAAGACAACAAAAATGTGACGACAGAGAATTTTAGCCGAGTTAATGATTAGCTCAACCGTTCAATATTTAATTCAATTTAGTCAATAAGTCAAATTCAAGCCCAGTTGGTCATAATAGCAGGATAAAAGTTATAGTAACTTTAGGAAGTCTTTTCTTACTACAAAGAATAACGAGTTAA